CCCCTTCTAAACCCTACCTGCACTTCTGGCAGTTTTCTGCTGATGTGCTATTCCAGTCATTTTTGGATAATCTTCAGCAGAATCTTGCTTGCATGTGATATTAATGATATTGTTCGAAAATTTCTACACTCTGTCAGGTCACCTTCCTTCGGAATGGGAACAAATATAGATCTCTTCCAGTCAGCTGGCCAGGTGGCTTTCCTACACATTTCTTGGCACAACTTGGTGAGCACATCTAGGGTAGCATCTGTTTCTGTTTCTTGAAATACATCAATTGGTATACCATCAATTCCTGGGGCTTTTGCCAATTCTTTGAGCACAGCTTGAACTTCCTCCATCACCAAAGGCTCTTGCTCATATATTGTTTCATAACATTTTTCTGTACCCATCAATTCCTTTTGGTTTAACAACTTTGTATACCATTTCCATCTTTTACTACTTCCTGGATCATTTACTATTCTGCCCAAAGCATCCTAAAGTATTGCAACTTGAGGCTTGACTTTGTTCTTCAGTTGAGCTTTAGAATTGCTGAGCAAGTTCATCCCCTTTGATTTTCTGATTGCAGTTCTTTGAAGCACTTGCTGCAGAATGTCAAGGATTGTAGCCTTCAATATGGATCGAAGCTCAGTATCAAGAAAACAAAGTTTCTCACCACTGGGCTATTGTTTTGAGTCAATGAGACCTCACGGAGGACGTTTGTATTTAAAGTTGGTTGTTACTATAGTTGGAGGAACATTCTTCTAAATGACGCCACAGTCTTCTGTCAATATGCTATACTGAAGTAACATGAGGTTGCTGTGATGCTGAACCTTGTGACACTAGGGTGTCAATGCCCTAACAGTTACCCATGGTAGACAGTGTTTGGTGGAACTCCTAGTTTGAGACAGCTTTGGAAGCAGGCGTGGCATCCACTTCCTAAATAACATGCCTCTGGAAACTCTATGAACTTTGATAAACGTCAATAGTTATAGAAAGGCATCAGGATTTATTTTCATAGGGTCACCATGAGTTATGCTCAACAAGAAAGCAATCAACAACAAACCATTATATAGCATCACATGCTGCCAGAAACTCTGAATTTTGATAAATGTTGATAGTTATCGAAAGGTAAGGCCTTTTGTTCATAGGGTCGCTATGCATCATGTTTGACTAGAAGGCAATTAACATCATCATACAACACTGAAAATACAACTTCAAGTTTGCAAAACACACCATTTCCTGCAGGTTATTATGCAGTGATGGTACACCTCTAGCACAGTCTACCATAGTACGCAATACTACACCACACATGCATCAGATATATACCAAGCAGAATATATTTTTTAATAAATATATATTTTTTTTAATTGGGAAAAACATATTAGGGGTACAAGGAAGTGAGGGTTGGGGGCAGAAGGGTGAGGATGGACCAGGATGCAGTTGCAGAGCTGCATAGTTTGGTCAGTGAGGGGAGCTGTTATTGTTGTTATGTGCCGTCGAGTCGTTTCCGACTCATAGCGACCCTATGCACAACAGCCCTAAACCCTGCTCTATCCTGCACCACCCGCACCACCTCTGACACACCCATCCCTATTATCCCAGTCACCGAATCAATCCATCTCGTAGAGGGTCTTCCCCTCCTGCGTTGTCCCTCCACCCTCCCAAGCATGATGTCCCTCTCCAAGGACCCGTCCATTAGCATTAAAAAATGTGGTGCATTTAGGATGTTGGTCCTCTTGTGCATGCTGCCACTGTTAAGGTCATCAGACTCAGTCACTTTCAGCAATCCATTGTATAGGTAATCGTCTTCTTTGGCCTGTCCAAGGAACCGCAAACCTGCAAATGGCAGGCATGCATCCCATCCCCCACGTCCTATGCAGGCGGCCAGCAGGGCGCACACCCCCCCTCCCCAGTGTGGGAGGCTGGCAGGAGGCACGCAGCCCCCACCAGCGTGGGCAGCCATTGGGGGCGCGCCCCCCCGCCACACGGGCACTCGGCGGGTGTGCGGCCCCTCATGTGCGGGTGGCTGGCAGGCGCCCACCTCCCCCACAGCCGCCATCCTGGCTCCAAGAATTCTCTTCAGAACAAGTCCACCTTGCGGCAGTGTGGTGGCTTCACTGTACTAGTCTTGAGGAGGGCTGGTGCCCAGCATCCATCCTGAGTGAGGGAATCCATTCGTTCCAGCTGTGGAAGCCTCATGGTGCTGCAGCTGGCTGTTCGGCTCTGCAGGGTTGGGGGGCTGGGAGCCACGAGACTCACCCATTTCTCCTTGGGAATCCTTGAATTCCAGTTGTTGAGCCTCGATCTTCACTGAGGGCCAGTCATCAACTGTTTAAGTGTTCAATTATCAATAAGCCGAAGTCTGTGGAAGGCCATAATGGCCCTGCTTTAGGTGGTTCGCTGCTCCCGCAGCTCACCACGCTGTCTCTGCCTCCATCTTGGATCTCCAGAATATTTTTATATTAATAGATGATAGGCACCAGTAAACAAGGGCTCAAGGAATGTTAGTAATTGACTAATGCACATGTAAGTATGAATTTAAGATTACTCGTCACTGGCTTAGAAAAACTATTTGTCAAAAACCAAAAATTGCAGCAAAACTGTAGGTAAAATGACTTTTATTTTTATAAATAAGAGGTCATTCATTATACAAACAACACTTCCAGCAGAGAAAAAGTTAGGTGCCATTTAGTTTTAAACTAAGCATCAAATGTAATTACACATCTATACATATTTCATGCAGCTCCTTTACATTTATTAATTCCTAAAAATTTCTGTATTATTTATAATGGAGCTATATCACCTATCACTTTTGCTAAGTAAAATGGATGTCATGTGAATGCTGCAAATTACTGATTTAATGTAATACCAGTATTTATAGCATTTTACAGAAGCAGAGAACATGTGGTTCCATTTCATATGATAGCAGGACTTACAAAATATCACTGCGAAATCGTAGTAACTAGTTAATCAGCTCTAGTACCTAAGATAAATAGGGGACTACGGACAGAAAGTAATATGCTAGCATAAAGTACTATTTTAAGTTTTTTGTCCACAAATGGAATACAGCAAACAGGTCTATAATTTTGTAATAAAGTTTATGTAAAATACCTTAATATTTTTTCCAATAATGGCAATTTAAATGTCTGCTTAATTATTTCACTTATTTGGTAGGAAACTCTTGGTTCAGATATTAAATGTTATACTCCCAAAGAGTAATTCGTTTTTCCTCAGGGGTGGAGGGAGAGAAGAGAAGTGTGAACTGTGGCAGGGAGGGGGTGTGGGCAGGGAGAAAAAAATGCAACAATGAATGAATGAAAATCTAAAATCTCTGCAGATGTTCATTAAAATAAATAACATTTTTTAAAATGAGTAATTAGTTCTGCATATTTTTTAAAACCCTGCGATTTAGGTAATTTTTAGGAGTGTAAATTATGACAGCATATAGGTTAAATAAGTATATATTTTAACATTGATTCAGATAGGGAAAACCTAATCTTCAAAACACAATGTGCATTCCTGTCTCAACACTTCAAGCAGAATACTCTCTCTAGGATGTTGATGTTATCATAGAGTTGGAACCAACCTATAGCTGACCTGGGGGTTTTCAGAGGAAGTTAATCACAAGGGAGGAGAGTGCCCATTCTTCTCCCTCAGGAAAGCTGGTAACTTTGAATCATGTGCCTTTAGGATTGCAGCACAGCTTCTTGCAACTAGGCCACCAGAGCTCACATTATCTCATTACCATATTATCTTTAGGATAATAGTATTTATTTCTCACAGGCCTGCCATACGGATTCAATAGTTTATCTATGTAAGTGCCTGGCAAATAGTATGCTCTCAATAAATACACATTATTGTTATTTCCAGGAAGTAAACAAATGTGTCATTTGTAATAGGAAAACTGGCTCAAGCCCCAGGAGAGACCAAAAGAAGATATACATGCAGATGTGTGACTTTTTAAAATGTTAGCTGACTTTTCCTCCTCAAGTCTGTGTACATACTAAGCTGTTTGAAACATTACAGTCTACTTTGTCTGAAACATTATAGTCTACTTTTAAGATGAATTATACTACGTTTGTTCTCTTTTTCCTAAGGGCTTTGGCTTAAAGCAAAACTATCCTGACAGGATGTTATTAGAAAATCATATAAAAATAAGATACAATGAAATAAAAAAAAAAAAGGTAAAATGAAATCAAGTAACAAAGGCAATTTACTATGACTTTGTTAACAAAGTAGAAAGTTATGAGTGTAATTCAGTACAACATATCTTGCTTAAGCTTAATGTTTTCATTACATCATGAAGTAGGTAAGTCTTCAAAAACATTTTCAATTGTCTTCTCTCAGACAGAAACACTACAAAGTTCTGTCCTCTAAGTTAAAAAAAAAATCTACTAGAAAAGGTCCTTGTAAAAATCATTGTAGGTTTACTGAGATAAAACTGATGCTCCGGGCCACCAGAAAGGGAGTAAATTCTTAAGTGGTCTTAATACAAAGCTATGAACACTTTTCAGTAAATGTATGTCTAATACATGTATGTAATTTGGTACGAATGAATTTAAGTATATATGACTTTCCCCCCACCAGAAAAGAAAATGATTCAGAACAACTTGTTATGTATGTTACAATTAATATAATGATGAAGGGGGAAAATTACCTTTGCTAAAACCTGGTTCTTGTCACTCTTTTGGTGCCAAATAAGAAGGAAACCTTTCTTATGAAGATACAAAAATATATTTGAAACATGATTCTGACCTTTGATGTATTAATCTGAAACATCCCAGAGTTAAAAAAAAGACTCAACACCCCAAAAACACCCTTTAGAGGAACAATAAAATCTTTCAAATGTTGTCCTCCTTAAAATTAAAAAGGAGTCTGGAAACAAAGCATAAAATATCTCCACTATATGAGAAATCACAAATAGAAAAACTCAGGCATATTTCTGTGAATGTAATTCTATAGATTTCAGAGAAATTATTTTAAGAAACCAGAACTAGAGTCCCATAGTTTATCTCTTAGAGGAGAAACTCAAAGTGCATGTTGTTTCAGTGCATTTTAGGAAATGCAGCATCCAGTGTCCTTCTGAGGTTTGATATCTGGTTCTTTCACAGGTTTTACTTCATCATCTGGTTTGGGCTTCGTCTAAGGACAAAGAAAAAGACAATGTACTTAATCAGTAAATCAAGACTTGGAAAACAAAAGCTCTTCTCCACTTTTTAAAAGATACTGCATCAAATCCTATTACAACACTGAGATTAATAAAGCTGTTCTGGACATCCGTTCAGTTTCAGACACACAGAAAGCAACACTGCAGTGAAAAGAAAAATTTAGAGAAGTGTTGTTATGTGCCATCGAGTCACTTGTGACTCATAGCGACCCTATGTACATATAAGAGCCCTAAACGCCATACTATCCTGTGCCAACCTCACCGTCTCAAATACACTCATACCCACCACTCCACTCACAGAATCGATCCATCTCATCGAGGATCTTCCTCTCCTACACCATCTCTCCACTCCCTCAAACATGATGTCCCTCTCCAAGGACCTCCTTGCAACATGCCCAAAGTATGTCAGACAAAGCTTCAGAATCCTTGACTCCAATGAGCATTCTGGCTTCACCCTCTCCAGGACAAACCTGTTTGTTCTCCTAGCAGTCCATGGTATAGTCAACACTCTTCTCCAGCACCACAGCTCAAAGGCATCAATTCTCTTTCTATCATCCCTATTCACTGTCCAACTCTCCAATGCATAGCACCTAACTGCAAAGACTACAGCCTGGATCAGGCGCACCTTAGTCTCCAGCATGATGTCGTTGCTCTTCAGTATTCTTGAGAGGTCCCTCACAGCCGACTTTCCCAATGCAGTTCATCTCCTGATTTCCTGACTGCTGTTACCGAGAGTATTGACTGTGGAACCAAGTAAACTGTTAACTATCTAATCTCTTCAGCATCCAGACTGATGCTGCCAATTGGCCCAGTGGTGAGAACCTTTGTTTTCTTGATGTTGAGCTTCAATCCATATTGAAGACTGCAGTCCTTAACCTTCTGCAGCAAGCACTTCAGGTCCTCCTCAGTTTCAGCAAGCAGGGTTGTGTCATCCGCATAGCGCAGGTTGTTGATGATTCTTCCACCAATCCTGATGCCACATTCCTCCTCATACAGCCCAGCGTCTCGGAGGATCTGTTCTGCATACAGATTGAAAAGGTATGGAGACAAAAATACATCCCTGATGGACCCCTTTCTTGATTTTGAACCTTCCAGTGTCTCCCTGCTCTGTTCTGACGACTGCCTCTTGGTCCAAGTATAGGTTTTGCGTTAGCACAATCAAGTGTTCTGGGATTCCCATTCTTCTTAGAGGCAGCCATAGCTTGTTGTGATCCACACAGTTAAAAGCATTTGCATAGTCAATGAAGCACAGATAGACATTTTTCTGGTATTCTCTGCTTTCTGCCAAGATCCATCTAACATTAACTATAACATCCCTACCACAACCTGTTCTAAATCCAGGCTGCACACCTGGCAGTTCTCTGTTGACACATATTGTTCCAAACATTTTTGGATAATTTTCATCAGAATCTTGCTTGCATGTGGTTGTTGTTGTTGTTATGTGCCGTCGAGTTGTTTGCGACTCATAGCGACCCTATGTACAACAGCCCTAATGATATTATTCGATAATTTCCACACTCTGTTGGGTCACCTTTCTTTGGAATGGGAACAAATATCAATCTCTTCCAGACAGTTGGCTGTCCTCTAGATTTCCTGGCACAACTTAGTGAGCACATTCAAGGTGGCGTCTGTTTGATGAAATAAATCAAATGGTATGCTGTCAACTCCTGGAGCCTTGCTTTTTGCCAATTCCTTCATAGCAACTTGAACTTCTTCCTTCATCACCATAGGCTCTTGCTCATGTTATTTCACGAAATTCCTCTGTGTCAGGCAATTCCTTCTGATACAGTGACTCTGTGTACTCCTCCATCTTCTTTTGATACTTCCTGGTTCATTTAACATTCTACGAAAACTATCTTTAAGTATTGCCATCCGTGGCTTGAATTTGTTTTTTAACTCCTTGAACTTAAGAAATGCTGATCAAGTCTGGCCCTTTTGATTTTCTAACTCCAGCCCTCTGCACATTTCATTACATTGTCATGCTTTGTCATCCTGAGCTGCCTTCTGAAATTTTCTGTTCAGACATGGCAATTGAAACTGAGATCTTGGAAATGGAAACACAGGGAAAGAGGAACAGCTGTAAGGAGACACTAGTGATTGGAACATGGAATGTGAGAAGCATGAATGTAGGAAAATTGGACATTGTTAAGAAAGAAATGGAACGCATAAATATTGACATACTAGGTATTGGTGAAATGAGATGGCTTGGCATGGGACATTTTGAATCAGATGATCATATGATTTACAATGCTGGGGATGAAAAGGTGAGAAAAAATGAGGTTGGTTTCAGAATTAAAAAAGTCATTTCTAGATCTATCCTGAAATACAATGTGGTGAGCGACAGGATAATATCCATATGCATACAAGGAAGGCCAGTGAATACCACTATCATTCAAATATATGCACCAACAATTAGAGCCAAAGAGGAGGAAATAGAAGATTTCTACCAACTTTTGCAGTCAGAAATTGATCAAACATGCAATCAAGATGCATTAATAATAATGGGCGACTGAAATGCCGAAGTTGGGAACAGGGAAGAAGGATCTGTAGCTGGAAAACACAGGCTCAGTGAGAGAAATGAGGCTGGTGACAGAATGAGAGAGTTCTGTACATTCAATGATCTATTTATTGCAATACATTTTATAAGAAACATAAACGCAGGCTATACACATGGATCTCACCTGATGGTATGCATAGGAATTAAATCAATTACAGTTGTGGAAAGACTCGCTGGAGCAGCTCAGTATCAGCAGTGAAAATCAGGCCAGGTGCTAATTGTGGGACAGACCACCAACTACTCATATGCAAGTTCAAACTGAAGTTGGAGAAAATTAACTCAAGTCCATGGGAATCAAGATTTCACCTTAAGTCTGTCCCACTCAAATTTCAAAACCATCTCAGGAACAGGTTTGAGGTCTTGAGCACCAATGAGTGTAGACCAAATGAGTTCTAGGAGGGTATCAAGAAAATCGTCCATAAAGGATGCAAAAGATCATTACAAAGGCTGAAGAAGAAGAAAAGACCAAGATGGATGTCAGATGAGACTCTGAGTATTGCATTAGAGTGCCGAGAAGCCAAAGCTAAAGGAAGAAATGAAGAAATCAAAGAGCTGAACAGAATATTTACAGAATAGTAAAAAAAGAATAAAACAAATGGTATGTCCTACTCCACATTCTTTCTGAGGAGGGAGGTATGCAGAACCCTCAAGACTGGAATGACTATGTAGATAACTAGCTATTACTTATGGGTTAAAAAGGATATAAAAACAACCCAATCTCAAGGAAAAAATATGACTGCAAAATAGCAAAGTAATTACCATTTCCTTTTTCACAGTAAACTAAGGTCAACTTGATTATAAGAGACAAAACAGGACCAAAGTTAGAAGTCTTAGCTTGTGACATACATAGCCAGAAATACTCAACCAGGACAGAACAAAATTGACAAATGAGATCTTCTAAAATTAAGTTCCTGTGTGCTTCAAAACCTTTTTCCTATAGGGTGAAAAGAAAACCTACAGACTGGGGAAAAAACCCATTTGGCAATGACATCTCAGACAAGGGTCTCATAATGAAAGTTTACAGAATACTACAGGGCTTTCATAAGAAAAAGATTGTTAACATAATCACAAAATGGGCAAAACACAAGGGAAGGACTTTCACAGATGAACATATTTGGAGGGCCAACAGACACATGAAGAAATTCTCAAAATCACTGGCATAAGACAGATGCAAATCAAAACCATAATGAAAAATCACCTCACTCAGTATCAGCAGTGAAGTGTAACAGGACAGCAAGTAATAAATGTGGAGAGGATATGGATAGAGTGTAACTCTCATGCACTGCTGGTGGAACTGCAAAATGGTACAAACATTCTGGAAGGCAGGTGGTGTTTCCTCAAAAAGTTGAATAAATCCTTATGACCCAGGTACTGCGCTGCTCAGAATATACCACAAGAAAAACAGAACTGAGACATAAATGGATTTTGTACATTAATGCTCATTTCAATGTTACTCAAAATAGCAAGAAAATGGAAACATCCCAAATACTCATCAAAAAGCAAATCGACTAAAAATTACTATACACTCTCACAATAGGGACACTATGCAGCACTAAGGAGCAATGATTTTGTAAAATGCTATGTAACATGAGAGAGTCTAGAGAATATTTGCACTGAGTGAACTAACTCAGTCTCAAGTACAAGAGCTGCACTAAGACCATTATTTTAACAATAGGTGGATAACTAGTAAGATGTGTATGTAAGTCCAGAAGGGGAAGGGGAGAAAGGCAGGGAGACACAGGGTGAGGAGGGGAGGATATCATTAGCATAACAAAGTTTGGTAGACAGAAGCAGAGGTTAAACAATTACGAAGATTCAAAGTGGATCTGAAAAGACTGGGCAGGCATAGAGCTCAACAGTGACTAATTTTATAAAACAATGTATATGAGTGATTGTTTGAAACACAATATGAATGCAGGAATGTGTAAAATACGATGTACATGAATGAGACACAATATATATGAATTTTGTATGCAAAGCAATACATAATAAAATGAAGGGGGAAAAACCCTTCAATGAAAAAACTTAAAATTTTACACTTTACCTACCATTTGATTTAAATGATGTATTTATTTTAGATGTGGTGCTGTTGTTGTGTGCCATCGAGTCACCTGCGACTCATAGCAACCCTATATACAACAGCCCTAAACTGCTCTATCCTGTGCCAATCTCCCTGTCTCCAACACACCTACCTCCACTACACCAGTCACTGAATCACTCCATCTCATCGAGGGTCTTCCCTCCTCCCTCCCAAGCATGATGTCCCTCTATAAGGACTGGTCCCTCCTTGCAAGAAGTCCAAAGTATGTCAACCAAAGCTTCAGAATCCTTGCCTCCAAAGAGAAGCATGGATTCACTTTCTCCAGGACTAATCTGATTGTTCTTTCAGCAATCCGTGGTATATTCTCTTCTCCAACACCACTGCTCAAAGGTATCAATTCACCTTCCATCATCCTTAGTCTTCGTCCAGCTCTCTGATGCATAGCAAGTGAACTGCAAAGACCATGGCCTGTGTATCAGGTGAATCTTAGTTTACAGACTGCCACTGTTGCTCTTCTGTATTTTGGAGATCTTTGACAACGGACTTTCCCAATGCAATACATCTTTTAATTTCCTGGCTGCTGGTACCAAGAGTATTGATTGTAAAGCAAAAAAACCTCCTGAAGCTCTTAATCATCTCAATCTCTTCACCATCTATCATAATGCTGCTAATCAGCCCAGTGGTGATAATCTTTTGTTTTCTTGATACTGAGCTTCAAGCTATATTGAAGGCTGCAGTCCTTGACCTACAGCAAGCACTTCAGATCCTCTTTAGTTTCAACAAGCAGGGTGTGTCATCTGCATAATGTTGATGAGTCTTTCTCCAATCCTGATGCCACATTTCTCCTCATAAAGCCCAGCCTCCTAGATAATCTGTTTCACATACAGATTGAAAAGGTATGGAGACAGGACATATCCCTGGTGTACACCCTTCCCAATTTTGAACCATTCCGTGTTTTCTTGCTCTGGCGACTGCGTCCTGGTCCAAATAAGGTTTTGCATAACCATGATCAAGTGTCCTGGGATTCCCATTCTTTTCAAAGTTAGCCACAGTTTGTTGCGGTCCACAAAGTCAAATGCCTTTGCATAGTCAATGAAACACAGATAGACATTCCTCTGGTACTCCCTGCTTTCAGCCAAGATCTAGCTGACATTGGCGATAATACCCCTGGTACCACAGCCTCTTCTAAATCCAGCCTACACATCTGACAGTTCTCTGCTGATGTGCTATTCATTTTTGGATAATCTTCAGCAGAACCTTGCTCACATGTGATATTAATGATATTGTTCGAAAATTTCTACACTCTGTCAGATCACCTTTCTTTGGAATGGGAACAAATATAGATCTCTTCCAGTCAGCTGGGCAGGTTTCTTCCTCTAGATTTCTTGGCACAACTTGGTGAGCACATCCAGGACAGCATTTGTTTCTTGAAATACATCAACTGGTATACCGTCAATTCCTGGGGCCTTTTTTTTTTTTTTGTCAATTCTTTGAGCACAGCTTGAACGTCCTCCTTCATCACCTCTGGCTCTTATTCATATTTTGTTTCATGAAATTATTCTGTGTCCACCAATTCCTTTTGGTATAATGACTCTGTATACTCTTTTTTTTTTTTTACTCTTTCCATCTTATTTTACTACTTCCTGGATCATTTACTATTCTCCCCAGAGCCTCCTTAAGTATTACAACTTGAAGCTTGAATGTGTTCTTCATTTCCTTGAGCTTAAGAAATGCTGAGCAAGTCTGGCCCCTTTGATTTTCTGACTCCAACACTATGCAGATTTCATTATAATGTTTTCTTTACACTGTCTTCCCGCGTTGCCCTTTCAGCTCCTTAATATCTTCATTTCTTCCCTTTGCTTTGGCTTCACAGTGCTCTAGTGCAATATTCAGTTTCTTCTAACATCTATATTGGTCCTTCCTTCTCTGCATTCTTCAGAATGATATTCATGATATCCTCCCACAATGCATCTGGTCTTTGCTCATTAGTGTTCAAGGCCTCAAACCTGTTCCTGAGATGTTTTTGAAATTCAAGGAGAATAGACTAAAGGTCATATTTTGGTTCCCATGGATTTAATTTTTCTTAGCTTTAGCTTGAACTTGCATGAGCAGTTGGTGGTCTGTTCCACAATCAACACCTGGCCTGGTTTTCACAACTGATATTGAGCTTCTCCAGTGGTTCTTTCCACAGATATAATCGATCTGATTCCTATGCATACCATCTGATGACATCCATGTGTATAGCCTGTGTTTACATTTCTTATAAAATGCTGCAATGAATAAATTGATTATGCAAAATTCTATCATTCTATCTCCAGCTTCAATTCTGTCACCTAGTCCATGTTTTCCAAATACTGATCTTTCTTCTCTGTGCCCAACTTTTGCATTCCAGTCACCCATTATTATTAATGCATCTTGATTGCATGTTCGGTCATTCTCTGACTGCAAAAGTTGGTAGAAATCATCTATTTCCTCCTCTTTGACTCTAGTTGTTGGTACATATAAAAAAAGCAGTCACATTTTACTGTTGATGAAGAATGATTTTATAAAATATAAAAGTTAGGTTACATCTTCAAATACCTCTTATCATACTGAATTTAAACTACCTACCACTATAGAAATAGAAACGTAAATAAACCTTTCCCTTTAGACCTTTCTCCCACATTCTTCCTGAAGAAGTGAACTGACAAATTATCAAAAGGCAAGATAATGCACTGAAAACACTATCAATTTACACAGAAAATGAGAAGACAAGGCTTAAGGTCTCTAAGGGCTTTATGACAGATTATACCAGGCTCATTTAACATCCAAACACATATTTACCAAAGTAAATAAACATAACAATGGTAACTCTGTGTTCTCCTTTTAAACTGTTGTGAGTGGAAAAAAAATATTCAGTCTCACCTACAACCAGAAAATAAAATAGATGAATGGGACCTTCTAAGAATCAAATCGCTATGCACATCCAAAAACTTCTCCAACAGGGTAAAAAGGGAAGCCACAGACTGGGAAAAAGTATTTGGGAATGACATATCAGATAAGGGACTTCTTGCTAGAATTTATAAAATACTTGAGCACCACAACAAGATAAAGGTAAATAATCCAATAAAAAAATTGGCACAGGATATGAACAGATACTTCACCAAAGAAGACATTCAGATGGCTACCAAACACAGGAAGAAATGTTCAAAATCCCTAGCTCTCAGAGAGATGCAAATTAAAACAACTATGAGATATCATCTCACCCCAGACAGACAGCAAAATTTAACAGAACAGCAAGCAACAAATGCTAGCGAGGTTGTGGAGAAACTGGAACCCTTATTCACTGTTGGTGGGAGTGTAAAATGGTGCAACCACTGTGGAAGGTGGTGCGGCGCTTTCTCAAAAAGTTGCAAATAGAGATACCATTTGACCCCGAAATTCCACTACTGGGAATATACCCCAAAGAGACCATAACTGACATCCAAGCAGCTATACGCACACCATGCTTATTGCGGCTTTGTTCACAATAGCAAGGAGTTGGAAACAACCTAAGTGCCAATCAACAAACGAATGGATAGAGAAGCTGTGGTATATTCATACAATGGAATACTACACTGCACTGAAAAACAAGGAACTCATGCAATATTATTCAAAATGGGTGACCCTGGAGGACATTATGCTGAGTGAAGTAGCCCAGTCATAAAAGGACAAATACTGCATGGTGCCACTGTTGTAAAATAGGACTGACATCAGGGTTTGGGGGGGGGGGAGATTGAGAAAGATGGGTTCAATAATGTATACTGCACTGAAACAGATGAGGGAGAACACTGTTTAAAAGGGATATGTGATTAGGTATTTTTGTCATGACAGGAGTCCAGAGTGAAGGCTGCATAGTGGAGCGGACCTGGGGCAGGGTTTATAAAACAATGAAAGAATTTTTCTTTTACTTTTCCAAGAGTAGTGTACCGGGGGGGAGGGTTGGGGGGAGAGAATAGTGTAACAAAGAATGAATGGAAACCCAAAGTCTCTGCAAATTTTCATTGAAATTAATAATTTTTTTAAAAAATAAAAATATTCAGTCTCATACACTGTCATCCTTGGGTCTCTTGGTGAGATCAAACTCAGCCAATGTATCTGGTGTCCATAGTGCACTAGTAGGAGGAAATGTGAAAGGTATGGGCTCCACAAGACCATAATTTGCCTTGAGTTCCAGTTGTGGGGCTTCCACTGGGATTTTTTGGAAGTATCTGCAAAAAGAAATTTAAATTATAATTTCATTTGTCAAATAACCACTGAATGCTTATAAACAAAAGCCCCAAGTGAGATAATAAATTTAGTGACTGGTAGGACAGCTATTTCTCCACCTCATGGAGCTGAGAGTCAAGAAACTTGTTAATGACAATGCAATGCAATCTGGATGATGATAGGTATAGGGTACCTGAGAACATAAAAGATATGCAATTAACCCTGACTTGCTTATGAGGTCCTTTCCAAATAAAGTGATGAAAACTAAGAACCCTACTTCACCACGTATGACTAGATAGAGAATTTAACGGAAATAATGCAAAAAGAATAAAGCAGGGGTGCGATTACACCAATCTGCACAGATAATGATTTAAACACCATGGATTTATCAAAAGAAAACTAAGTGGTACAACTGGGCAGGAATGAGAGAAAAATCCTTTTCTCAATTAGGGAGAAGAAGCACTCAGACAACATTCTAGCTTGGCACTTTCAATCTCCCAATGTGTGAGAAAATAAATTTGCTGTAGAAAATTATGGCGAAAGAAATCATAGTGAGACAAACTAGATATATATGAAGAACAAATGCAGACAAAGTTAAGAGAAAATTAGGACAGTAAGAGATGTTCTAGTTGGAAGAAGCTATGCTATAATCCTGAATTTAAATTCACCAGCTGCTCCGTGGGGGAAGGATGGGCAAATTCCTTCTGTGCATTGAATTGCCTCTGAAAACACGTGGAGGTCCAGCTATTGGCTGGTTCCAAGTTGATAGTACACAACAACAACAACAACAACAACAATATGTGAATAATGTTTAAAATTTTATATGTGCCTTTTTAAAACAAAAATTATTATCAGAACAAAAAAAATACAAGGTATGCTCTAGACAACTGAACTTAAGGAGAACATTAATGCTACCTTCAATGCATTTAAAACAAAACTTTTGGGAATAGCAACAAACAAGAAAACCATGAAATAAGTGTACTCACATAAATCCATTTTCTCTTTGGCACTTTTCTAGGGAAGTCTTCACAAGATTTCCAAGTTTTGTAAAGAACAAGTATTCCGCAGGTTTTACTGTTGGTCCAGGTCCTTTGGTTTCCCCATATTCTTTGCATAAGGTTTCAGCCTTAGTATATACTGCACATGTAAGGGATGAAAAGCTATTTGACAGTAACGTATTATTGTTTATTTAAGTTAAAATGTTTCTAATTAGATGGTAAAATTTTACTGCTAGTGTATCAGTAAGAGTACAGAAGCTGTTTATTTTCTCTATGTCTTAGGTTTCTACAACTTTTTTATTTCTTATTACCTCTCAATAATCCTATTCTTTTTCAAGTCGGCAAAAATCTTGCTTAAACCCTTTATGATGAATCATTTTTCTTCCATAAAAGGAGTTATTATTTTAGCAGAAATACTTACATTTTTCTGCTTCTTGGAGAGACCTTATTGCTTCACCACATTTATCACTAGCCAACAAAGTCTGACCATGATAACAGTAAGCCTGGTAAAAGAAATAAAATTTTTATAAATTCTCCCCCTAAATAACTTTCCTCATTTTGTTTTATATTTGCATGAGATGAGTATCTTTGTCTATTTTTAAAGTATCAATAAAATCCCTTATTTTAATAAGCAACTCTTTCCCATCACTGCTCAATGATATTCAAATATAAGTTGGAATTATGCCAAATCCTGGACCAATCTGGTTCTGACTAGCATGAGAGTAAAATGTTTTAAACATTTTAAAACTAGTTTTAAAAATATTAGGTAATGGAGAGAAACTGTGCTAAGGCAGAGCAGTTCTTATCTAAGGACTAAAGAAGCTTTTAGGGAATTAATGTAGCATTTCATGGGTATTAAATTATGTTGTGACTGAATTATGTCCCCCCAAAGCTGTCCTCTAAGTTATAGTTAAATGACATTTCTCAAAATACAGGAGATAAATCCCAACTTTTATGCCTGTGGTTGTAATCCCATGAATGGAGTGTCTTTACTATGTGAATGAGGTAGAATTAGTATCTTAAGTCCATCTCTTCTGAGATATAAAAAAGGTTGAACAGGCAGAGGTAAGAAAGATGTCCACAAACACGTAAAGATCTCCAAGGAACCAGAAGCTAAGAGGCCAGGTCTCTTCTCCAGCTCTGATTCTGGATTTATAGACTTCTAATTGTGGGAAAATAAGTTTCTGTTTGTTAAAGTCTTCCACTTAAAGTATTTCAATTCAGTACTATGCACTGTACTTGTAAATAGACTATAAAAACTAAGAAATACAATAATCTACTTAGATTTGAAAAGGCTTTGATGATCTCTCATACATTAATCAAGTGTCTAGCAGATTGATGAGTAACTTCCAAAAATGGAAGTTACTTCCTAAAGTTATTTGATGGTTCTTTGCCAAAGCCAGGTGATAAGATTTTGTGCTATGTTGTGAAGTTAGAATTAGCTGAGAAGATTCTTATTAGCATGCAAAATGTTCCAGACTGAAAGTGCTTTCTGATTCAAACAGTGATTCTATTGCTAGAACTACTTGGATTCTTGTACAAAAGCCTCTTTCTGCCCACTTTAGTTAACAATGATTGTACTGTCAGTAATTATTCACTAAGAATGGTCCATTATTTGTAAAATGCCATGAAGGAATTTGACATTATGTAAGACCTAGCACTCAAGGCACTGGAAAGATGGTACTTAACACTGTTATGTGTGTTACAAATACTTACATATGCCATGTAGAAACACATTTTTAAGAGAAGATATTTTCTCCATTTTGCAGAGTACGCAGGCTCCAAACTGGATAAAGTATGATCTAAGGTTATAGTTTAAAAAGCAAAATATAATTTCACCCTCCTTCATTAATTTTTAGTGACATGTTTTGATGCTTAAAGTAGAATGTCATTCAAAACCCCAAATCTAATTTAAACTAATTTACTTATTTATTAACTTTGGCTTTAAGCTACTACATAAGACAACTGACATTTTCTGATTTGTAGATTATAAAAACAGATATAATCAAGATTTTCAAAGAAAATATTGATTACACTACATTTCCTATTTTAAAAACAATGTAAAAAGTAGCCTCCTCAAGAAACACAGGCGTTTACTCTTCTTTCACTGAATCTCGTCTAGAACAGATATGCGCATTCACACTTTTTTGTCAGTTTTTTAAAACTATCACCTTCTCTCCATTTCCAACTTCCTGTATTTGTCAGAGTTTACAAGGATCCTTCAATAAAATAGAGTAATTTCCTCCTAGATACTAAGAAAATCACTATAATGAATACTGCAGGGTTTAGATCTGTTGTTCACAGGGCAGTTATGAGTCATAGTCAACTTGATGTCATCTAATAACAATAACAAATACTAAATCAAGTCAGCTTCCTACTCTTTCAGCTAGCAAACCCATAGTCCATACTTTAATTATCTTTGGTAAATCCATATCTGATCAAATCAGATTTATTTACTATCTTTTACGGAGTTCCAAATATCTACAGAAAAAGGCCAAACTCTTTAGAGATGCAAACTTTCCCAACCCTCTGTTTTATTACTAATACCATATTTCAACTTGTCTGAAGTGTCCAGAATGTGCTAAGTCCTTATTTCTATGCACACTATAGAGTGCTGCACTCTTACTGTACTCGAAAGCTTCTGAGCAAACTCCCAACTTATCTATTTATATATCAAAATATGACACCACCTTCTTGTAGTAGTTTAGATTTTTATTTTATTCCTATAACAAAGTCTTACTTCACACTATAATAAGGTGAAATGGTTTGTTAATTCATCTGTTCAACTAATCTTTGTATATCCAGAAACTATCATAATAACTCACTCACAAGCAGAAATTTATGCATGTTTCCTATAGGAATTAAAGAAAAGATAAAAAATAGGCAAACTTAAAAAAACTAGCTTATCACCTGCTACAGTAAAATATAAAAAGCTATTATAATTAATAGTCATAATTGGCTAGCAAGAATGACACTGTCATTTCCACTACAACATTTATGAAGCATATTAACTGGGAAGAGCTTTAACGCCTTTATTTTTCATTAACCAAAAATGTAGGTATCCTAAAGTTTAGAAATGATGAAATAATCTCAGAATCTTTTTCTTTTGCCAATTAAGCCTGCAGCTGATAAATGTGCAAATCTAGTAAAACAGAAACTATAAGGACAGATCATAAGCTTACCAGCTTTTTGATAAAAATTAGCTGTTTCATATGCCAGTGCAGCAATAAGTTGTGGAGCATGTTTTAGTTCAATTGCTCGAGCGATTGTTACTGAAATCACAAGAAAAGAAATTAATCTGCAAGATAAGATCACTTACATTCATACCCCAAATCAACAGGATAAGAAGAAAATGGTCTCACAAGTCTTTAAATTGGTGTTTTAATATAGTTTGCTAAAACAGTTCTGACATGAAAAATAGCTAAAAATACGGAAACGGAAAACAACACACTTGCTGATTCTAATACCATTGTTTTGGAAAAAAAAATTAATTAAACCAGAGAACTATTACTATAAAATAATACATTGAAATCTGCACTAGAGTATTAAATAAAGGAAAAGAAAAAAAAAGGGCCACTAACATTTCTTTTTCTGATCCCATATAATTCTTCATTCATTTTCTGCCCTTAAAAAACAAAGATTTAAAGTAAACCAAATAGAGGCTTCTTTGAATCCATTTCTTAGTACAAAGTTTTGAGTCTAGTAACAGGAACTTCCCTGAAGCAGATTAAGCTCAGAATTCTGCCTGGTCTTGTCATGCCTCCATTATCACTGCTGTTTGACTTAAGAAATAAATTTATCCAAAGGATATACTAAGCTATGGGAAGAAAGATGATAAAGGAATGCACAATATGAATTAAAGAATTAATTTTATGTTGTCAGGAAAGGCATGAAATAAAAATTATCTTAACAAGAACTACTAAACTATACGGTCTTGTCCTGCTAGCTAAGAATGAAGACTGATGCTAAATCTCTCAAAACTTGACATTCAATTGTGGCTAATACTGATTTACAGTTTACAGAAACCTACATGGCCTCCATAAGAAAAAGATTTATCATACAAGTATAAAATGGACAAAAGACATGGAAAGAATTTTCAGAGGAAGATAACTGGATGGCCAACAGATACATAAAGAAATGCTCCAAATCACTGGCAATGAGAGAGATGCAAATGAAAACCACAATGAGGTATCATCTTACTCCAGTAGCAATAGCAAAGTTTAACAGGACAGCAAATAATAAATGTTTGCGAGGATGTGGCAAGATAGGAATTCTTATACATTGTTGGTGGGATTGTAAAATGGTACAAGCACTCCAAAAGGCAGTTTGACATTCCTCAAAAAGCTGAATACAGATTTTGTGTTTCAGGTGTAGAGAGGAGAGAAAGTGAACAGGGAGCGGGGCTTTTGTCTGTAGGTCCCCCTGGACTGAAGAGAGGGAGTGTGCAAGCCCAGGACTTGGTAAGATTCTTGAAATGGCTTATTACCTGGATCTATTTGTCTGGGTCAGTCAAGAACCATTTCCAAATGAGGAAATGGAAGGAAGGTTCCCCAAGGGAAGACTTCCTGTCCCAAAGGAGGTAAATCGCAAGAAGGGCGAAGAGACTGCTGCTGCCTCCCTGACTGCTTGGCGGCGAAGAAGTCCTTCCCCCAAGAATCAGTTACCTCTACTCTTTTTAATCATAGAACCTCCATTTGTATCACATATGGTGTATGGGTATTGATGAGATCATGGTATCATATATGGGATTTTTTTCTGTGTAAATCATCAAGTATAAGAAGAAACTATGGGACTCTGAGCCTTGCTTTAGAGAATTTACAGTGGACAAATAGGTACCATCAAACAGTTTTTAATCATTCTGACTCTGGTGAAAACGCTCAGAATTTCACACTGTGAATCCATGTTTACAACCCTTACAGGTGGGCTTTCAGGCCTGGTTCGCTACAACAATGTTTTCCACAACTCAAACTCCCACTGCTCTCAACAACTGGTCCACTCCTGCCGTTTCACTCACACAGTTCTGACTGCTTCTGGCAGAGGCTGAGAGTCCCCCTATTTTTTTTTTATATTTTTCATTTAGATGTAACAAGCCTAGTAGTTTATGTTCATCGATTGTCTGTATATCTCTGTATTTTACCCATGTACTCTTTTGATGTATAGAAGTAGTTTGAAACTCATTGTTTCCTTGTGGTAAGTGACTGAGATGCTGCCACAGGACCTGAGACACTGATGAATGGTGCTATTTTGGACTTTCAACATGCTCCTTGGCGAGGAGCTCTGATGAATTTATTTTTTATTTCCATGTTCTAAGAAGGTGTTGGTACTTGGTTTCCCTGAATGTTGTTCTCTAGACTGGATTGACTTGTTTTCCTTGTGTCTTCAGTGTGGCTTTCTTCTTCAGTGTTGTAGGTTAAGTAAATGCTACCAGAGAGTAAGAGACAGCTGTCTCATGGGTTGGCCCTCAGAAATGTGCAATTGCTGTAGCGGGAGCAATCACAAAACTGTAATTTATTTACCAAATCTCCTTCTTTCTGTAGCCTCGCCTGCCTAACTGAGAGGGGAAAAAAGCAATAATTTTACAGGCATTTTCAGGTGAATCTTTGGGTTCTTTTTTGTCTAAAAAGATATTTGAAAAAGGGACAAACTTTTTGTCACAAAGTCTTGAAAAAAAAAATCCCAAAACCTGGCATCTTCATATGAATATGAAAACTACACATTTCCCAGAAATTAAGTTGGGGAAAAATAGCTTTACAAAATGTAAAAGAAAAAGAAGGCAGAGCATTACTTTTTTTTGGCCAATTTTGACAAGCAAGGTGTACAGTTTGCATTTTTGTCCTTGCTCCCAATGAAATGGATCAACAACCTAAAATCAGAAAATACTATCTACTCATGGAATGTTGTTGTGTTAGCCAGTCTGAAAGCCCACCTTAATTTTTATATAACTATTAGCTCTTCCTTCGACGGGGCAGGCCTGGTTCTGAACTGTCCGCATCTAGTGACTGTTAAACACGATGATGCATGCACTGCACTTCCTTCTCTTCTTGCTCCCCCACTGGACTGAGTTTCTTGTGCATTTCTCCCCACCCTCCTTCCTTAGAATAGGTATATATGCTGTGTAAATAAAGCAAGAAAACAGTATTCTGTATCTGTGGCATATATGTAGAGTTGCAGTTGTGTACTGCCGAAAACGCACGCTTTTCTAACAATGTGATCTTTACTGATGCACCCAAGACAAGTACCCAATGTATTTTAGCTATTTTAATAGGATTTGTTCAATAAATATGCAAGCTGTAAGGTAAAAAAAAAATAGCTGAATACAGAAATTCCACATTCCATTGCTTGGAATATGGAGATGTGTACCCCTATGTTCAGAGAAACATTATTCACTATTGCAAGAACATGGAAATGGCCCAATTGTCCCAACATAACTGAATCGATTCAGAAATTATAGTACATTCACATGATGAAATATTATTCAGCATGCAGGAGCAATGATTTTGTAAGTTACTACCTGACAGCATTGTGCTACGTGAGCTAACTTGGCCCCAAAAGGACAAATATTATATAAGACCATTACTGTAGAACGAGTATACAAGGAGGGGGCAAGCAAAGGGTTTAGGATGGGAGGGGGGGTTGCATGGCCTTAACTATAGGGGTGGGGTGAAGGAAATGGCAAAGATCTGGTGTGAAAAACAATGTATATGTCCGTTTAAGTAAATCAGTATATAATAAAAACGTTATTTTTTAAAAAATATGAACTGGGGGAAAGGAAAGGAAGGGAGAGGGTTATAAAATGTGCAACAATGAATGAAAATTGAACTTGTAAATGTTCGTTAAAATCACAATTAAAATAAAATTTTATTTGGAAAAAAATTAATTAAATGGCAGTATAGATTACTTCAAAGAAACCTTACAATATTAGGGGATACCTTCTTGAGCCTCAGCCTGGCACTGGATGATATAAGCATCTATGAGTCGTGTCTCTAAATCCCTTCCTTTTTCTGCAGGTGTAATAAGCTTTGGGACATGATTTTCCTAAGAGAGAAGGGGGGGAGGAAAAAGATTTTTTTAAAAAGCTAAATTTTATTTTAACTCAATCGTTAGATACGGAAATTGTCAGGAAACTGAAGTTCTAAGATATTAATCTGGGGGATTTACTAGAAATTCAGAAGACAAAACAAAAACTAAGTAGAAATTACCAATATTAAGTATATAGACATAAGACATCTCAAAGATGACTCTCCAACAAGTTTTCAGAAGCAGGAATTTGCAGGAGGACAGACTGCTCATCTTTCTCTTGCAGACTAGCTAGTGGATTTGAACTGACAGCCTTTGGGTCCACAGTACACTCTGTACCACCACAGCTCCCTTATACATAACTCTGTAACCTACCTTTTATAGTAAGATTTTCAAGAATAAAATTTTGGTAGTAAAAGTTATCTTAGATGATGCAAATTGTATTTTCATCTTGGAAAATGTTTATGTGAAACAGCACCCAAAGAGCCTTTTATCAGAACCTGAATTGCTCATTCATATTAATAATAGAAAATATGCAAACACTAAAAATCACCAACAATTCTACAGCTAACTCATGATCACAGTTTTTCACTCACTATAAAAGAATCTGACAGCCTTCAGCAGATTTAGAGTAAACAGATTTATTTAGAAGTGGAGGAAATGCTGGTTAGATTATACATTTTCTTTCTCCCACTTCCCTTTACATCTCTAAACAACATAATTAATGTATGCTGAATACCCGTCTATTCTTTTCTCTAATATATCAGTCAGAAGTTCAGATTTACAGAATTATGATGGCTTCTCCTAGCTCCCTGATTAAAACAGGCTTGGAAGCAGGAATGGTATCCACTTCTGAAAGAGCTTGCCTCCAGAAACTCTATGAACTTGGAGAAATGATGAAGGTTATACAAGTGTCAGGTCTTTCATTCATAGCGTCACTATGAGTTGTCTACTACTTGATGGCACTTAACAACAACAACAACAACAACCTGTTAGAAAGAGCAATGAGAATCGGTAAAAACAGAAAAAAAAATACACTAGATTGTCACTTAGATTTTCTAATGTTAAAATTCAGAGGAGAGTCTAAGGCTAAACTGGAGGCACTTAACAGCTTATAACTGGTAGCACTTATTAACAAGGTAATTAACATAATGAAAATAGGATATGTACTTGCTGTTTCTTAATGAAACAATTCTTGACCTTAACAAAAAAATCTATCAATGAATTAAAAGCATTAAGAATAAATACATTTTTTACCTTTAAATGTTTAAAAATGCCAGCTGCAATTCTTAGGCTTCGATGAACTTCTTTTGCTTCATCTTCTGTTATGCTTAAAGATAAGATAGAAATTACATTATTCAGATGGTAAGTTGTTTGATAATAAAAAGAATACATTATAATAAAACTCAATGGCTATAGCTTTTCATAAATAACACACTCACAATGAAGTTCATAGTGTACCCAAGAAAACAATACATAAGAGAGTTGTATAGATGGCAAAAATATACCACAAAAGTGCATTATTTTTGTGAAAAACAACGGTAATCATGTATTTCTTACTTGTAGCTTTCTCCCTTTAGAAAAATTTAATTTTAACACATAAAATTGGTAAAATTTGCATGAAAAATATCCAGGGAAAATGCTAAAAATGAAAACTTATCTAGAGAAGGAGACAAATAGTTCTGAACAAACAGTTCTCAATTTCCTTCCAGACATTTATGCATTAGCAAGCACCATACTTTCTACAATACATGGACATACTTTTAAAACATAGAGATGTAATGGTATGTATACACACTACTGCTGTCCTTATTTTAATTACCACACTTTAGTTTTTCATCCACACATAAAATTCAACTAAATTAAATGGTTGCATATTATCTGCCTATCATCAATTTGCTGATTTTACCAGAATCCATCATTGCTATTACCAAAATTAGATCTTTTATTATTCCTGTATTCTTTAAGTATTCTCTCACATACTTCATGTTTTTTGCCTCCTATGTGTAAACTGTCATGACCTTTGTTCATTTTCAGTTAGTCTTTTCATTGGTCACGTATAAATTTTTTACATAAAAGAAAAAGGATTTGCCATAAGGGTTATAATTTTTTTAATCAGTGTGTCATTTGTTTTTAACTTTGTTCATGTAACCAAATAATCTTCTAACTTATGGTTTCTTGGTTTGGGTATTTACTGAGAAAGAACAATATTATTTTTATAATAAAGTACAGTATCATTGTACCAATGATATTATTATTATTTTTCTTTTTATTCATGGATCCACAATTTTGATACTTACAATATGAAGTTATCAGGTACAATTTCACTTGTCTAAAGTAGTAATTTTTAAATCAACTAGCTTAGATTTTATTAGGAAATTCCCTATTTTAGAAAAAAAATTATTCATATTTTAGAAAAATAATGTAGAGGCTTACATATAACACTTTCCTTTGAACTTACTTTTCTTTTCCAGCCAGTCTTGAAGCATATTTGGTATACCATAAAGCAACATTAAATCCCATAGAAATTAATTCAAAAACACCATCTTGCTGGGCACTAAAATTATAAATACAATAAAATTCTGTCAATTATTGAGACATCTCTACATAAAGCCTACTGTACATTCAACTTCAAATTATAAACCACTCTATGCAAGAAGCCTTGGTGATGTTAGTAAGCTGAATGATGGTGGACTGTTAACTGAAGGGTTGATGATCCAATTCTACGGGCAGCTCTTCTGGTGAAAGATGGGCAACAGTCCAATCCAGTTAAAATTTATAACCCTAAAAAATGAATGGAGGGTACTACGTGTCAAAATTGATTTGCTGGCAGTAGAATTTTTTTGTTTTCGCTTTGTTAATATGCTAACTGAAAGTATATGAAGTACTGTGAGGTATACCTAACAAAAAAGGGAGTCCTTGTGTTTTCTACCAATGGGTATGAGATCAACAAATACACACCCTGAAGTAATTAACAATAGATATCTATGTATGACAACCCAGTCTGTGCTTTATAATAATGAGAATCCAAATGAAAACCATTGTTGTTTAGAACCTAATTGATGGGGAACTAATCCATTGAGTTTTCCACACTTTCATCTTTATGGGTGCAGAGAGCCACATCTTTTTCCAATGGAATGGCTGCTGAATTCAAGGGGCTGACCTTTCAATTTTCAGCTGAGTGTTTTATCTATTGAGTCACCAGGGCTCCATAAGTATGAGAACAGTGGTTCTTGATGTTTACTGAACATCAAGTAGTATCAGATATAGAAATTTCTAAGATTCAACACCAGAGAGTCAAATGGTTTAGGGCAGGGCCTAGAATCTACATCTTTAGCCAAGTACTCCATTGATTTGCAACAGCAGGTTCTTAGATTACGTTTTTACAAAATGGAATGCTGGTCAGAGAGATCCTATAAGGACAGAATGATGGTTTAAAGACACTCTGAACTGTGCCTTGGAAGAGAGCCAAAAAGAAAGCAGAAGCATATCTCTAGCGAAAAGACAATCCTATCAAGCACAAGAGAGTAAAAAGATTTTTTTCTGATAAAACCAGCCAAACTAGTTTAATTACATAATTGTTAAAAAGAACCTGATGCACAAAAAGCCACAGTAAAATGCAAAGATAGAGGTCTTGAAAACATGCATATTTTATAATTTTTTCCGATTCTTTTACCAAACATAACATTTAAAAATATGGCAAAAGTATAGTAAGCAAGTAAAATACTAACTCACTACCATTCTTACAAAATCCACTCACTGCTGTTGAGAATCACTGCTGTAGAATTGACTCATAGCTGACCCTCCAGGGAGTTTTTGGAGGCTGTAAATCACAGGAGGAAAATGTACATCTTTCTCCTGTGGAGTTGGCAGTGGACTTGATCTGCCAGAGAAGTGTTACCTTTGGGCAGCTGTAAACTCTGTATAGATTGTGCCACAGAGCTCATGGACCACAAGCTTTCTTATGTTGTTGTTGTTAGGTGCTGTCAAGGTGACCATGATTCATAGTCAGTGACTGAACAATAGCTCTTGCCCTATCCTGAACCAACTCTACCACTTACCTGAACCACTGCCAGTCACTGTATCAATTTACCCTGGTGAGGGTTTTCCTCACAAAATTTGTATGAAATATTGAAATCCTGTCATACATTTGAAGAATTCTTTTAACAGTTTGAAAATTTCTTTACACATTATCTCATTTCTCTTGAATGATGAAGCAGAATAACTTTATTTCATACATTTACTACAAAGATACATAGATAGGAAAAAAAATGACACTTAAGATTTAAAAATCTGTTAAAAAAGGCACAGTAATTTGAAAAGAATGAACCAATTATACTGTTTAGCACACATTATAAAACATATGACATTTCTGAATAAAGTTAAGAACTGTTCTACCAGCCTGAAAATAATTTATTGGATAGTTGACAGTTTTGTTTTTTTCCAGCATTGCATACTTTCAAATGGTGATCTAGCTGACATGTCAAATTTATATTTTATCTTTAGATCATATAAAATAGTTTTGCTACCTACAACCAAGAGAAGATAAAATAGATGAATGGGACCTTCTAAGAATCAAATCCCTATGCACATCCAAAAACTTCTCCAACAGGGTAAAAAGGGAAGCCACAGACTGGGAAAAAGTATTTGGTAATGACATGTCAGATAAGGGACTTCTTTCTAGAATTTATAAAATACTTGAGCACCACAACAAGATAAAGGTAAATAATCCAGTAGAAAAATGGGCACAGGATATAAACAGACACTTCACCGAAGAAGACATTCAGATGGCCAACAAGCACATGAAGAAATGTTCAAAATCACTAGCTCTCAGAGAGATGCAAATTAAAACAACTATGAGATATCATCTCACCCCAGACAGACAGCAAAATTTAACAGAACAGCAAGCAACAAATGCTAGCGAGGTTGTGGAGAAACTGGAACCCTTATTCACTGTTGGTGGGAGTGTAAAATGGTGCAACCACTGTGGAAGGTGGTGCGGCGCTTTCTCAAAAAGTTGCAAATAGAGATACCATTTGACCCAGAAATTCCACTACTGGGAATATACCCCAAAGAGACCATAACTGACATCCAAGCAGCTATATGCACACCATGCTTATTGCAGCTTTGTTCACAATAGCAAGGAGTTGGAAACAACCTAAGTGCCCATCAACAAACGAATGGATAGAGAAGCTGTAGTTTATTCAAACAATGGAATTACTAAGCTGTACTGAAAAACAAGGAACTCATGCACTATTATTCAAAATGGGTGACCCTGGAGGACATTATGCTGAGTATCTCAGTCACAAAAGGACAAATACTGCATGGTGCCACTGTTGTAAGACAGGACTGACATCAGGGTTGGGGTGTGACTGAGAAAGATGGGTTCAATAATGTATACTGCACTGAAACAGATGAGGGAGAAAATGGTTTAAAAGGGATATGTGATTAGGTATTTTTGTCATGACAGGAGTCCAGAGTGAAGGCTGCATAGTGGAGTGGACCTCGGGTGAGGGATTGTAAAACAATGAAAGAATTTTTCTTTTACTTTTCCAAAAGGGTAGTGTACTAGTGGGGAGGGTTGGGAGGAGAGAAAAGTGCAACAAAGAATGAATGGAAATCCAAAGTCTCTAAACTTTCATTGAAATTAATAAATTAAAAAAAATAGTTTTGCTAATTTACATGAAACCTCATGAATGGCTCTCTTTTTATCCCTCATTTATTTAAATATTTTTTGTTCCAAAACTGCTCCATTTCTGTTGTTTCACATATAAGTAGTAGTCAGAATACTAGAGATGAAAAATTATTTTTCAAAACAGAACACTTCCTAATCAATAAACACCAAGTAACATTAAAGAACCAAAAACCTTCATTGTGTTAAAAATGTTAAGTAGTAATCAGTTATTATAAGCAAGTGCTCATGCATGCTAAAAGATAATAACTAATTATTACAAGCTACCATGCATTCTAAAAGATAAAGTGCCAAATATATGAAAAGATTATTTTATTTTTGTGTGTGTGTGTGTACCGTCAAATCAGATCTGACTGGTACAGGAAGAGATTGCCCCCCCTTCTCCGGCAGAGCATCTGGTGGATTTGAACCACCTATCTCTGGGATTGCAGTGCAGCTTCTTGCCACTAGGCCACCAGAGCTCCCAAAAAGATTATTATTTTAAATTCTGCTAATGTTTTACAATTTTCTTCTCTTACAAGTAGAATTCTGGATGTATATTCTTTAATTATGTATGTACAAAGGAGTCACCTCAAGGAACAGCATGATGACTTGGTATCCCAGAATCTAAAGATTTGGAAAGAATTCACATTCTGTATTTCCTATCCAAATTGTGAATTTGACATATCATATTCAAAAGGTAGGTATTTAATGAATGCCAATTATATGCCAAGCATTTTATTATTCACATATGTTTTCTTACATTATTCCTCACAAATTCTGTAACAAATACTGGCTACCCCAACATTGTATTTGAAGAAGCATAACTTCACAGGAGAAGATTGCATCTAGATGTGTATGAATACAAAGTTCTCATTCCTCCCAACAGAATGAAGCCTATCCTAGTCTTTGAGTAATAAAATTCTAATAAAATCGTTTCATCTGTATAAATGTACAAATTCTACAAAGCTGAATGTCTAAACATATGCATTTCTTTTCTAAATAGACAAAGCAAACAGATATATTTGATCATATAAAAATCCTGAGATTCCATTAAAAATACTACCTTTTTTTTTATTAGTTTGCTTACAAAGTTTATACACATTGTGTTTCACACAATCACTGTCAAGCATTATGTTTTATAAAATTAATCACGATTGGACCTTGTCCATAATTACTGTCTTTTCACCAAATCCTTCCCATTTGGTTCCCTGCCTCCCTCCACTCACCAAACTGTGCAGCCCTGTGATTTCACCCATACCTTTCCTCACCCTTCTGCTCCTGAGTTTCTCTATCAATTAAAAAAAAAAATCCAACAACACAAAGTAAATGAAGAAATTTGTGAAACACTATATGAATTTTATATACAAATTAATATAAACATTTTTTTTTAGAGAGAAAAAAACCCCTACCATTATGATTTACTTACTATTTATAACTAGTAATTAGCACTGGTGGCCTAGTTGGCAAGAAGCTGGACTACAATTCCAAAAGCATGCAGTTTGAATCCACTAAATAAATGCTCTGTGGGAGGACGGGCAACCTCCTCTCATGTGAATAACTGGCTCTGAAAACCCACCAGAGGGTCAGCTACAGGTTGCTTCTGACCCAACTGTAAAAAAATAACATCTTGAGTAGGAAGATAGTTTGTTATGAAGTTTTAAAAAAGAACAGAAACAGAGATGAGGATTTAGCAAGAAAACATTAAGAGTACAGAATTAAGGGGAGCTCTGGTGGCCTAGTGGCAAGAAGCTGCACTGCAATCCCAGAGGTACACGGTTCGAATCCACCAGATGCTCTGCCGGAGAAGAAGGAGCAATATCCTCCTGTACCAGTCAGATCTAATTTGACGGTACACACACACAAAATAATAATAATAATAATAATAATAAAAAGAGTACAGAACTGGGAATGTAAGAGAGAAAGAGAATGATATCTAAACGACCCATTACAAAAAGAAAAATAAGGGAAAATAAAAATCCAGATCTTCTTGAAAGTAAGTAAAAACTGAGAGACAAGTTGAGGTTCCAAAGTGCTAAATTATTCTTTGTGTGTTTTGATATTGTTATCAAAAGTCAAGGTTGTGCAATCTAATTAAAGCTGTCCATTCATTATCTTTAAAACAGATTCAGTCTATGAGAAACAAAATTATATTTCTAATTACTAGAATGTGCTAATAGTTTAGGCAAGGTGTTGTGAATTTTATAGTAAGGGAAAACAGTGTTGAGCAGACCCATATTTTTCTTCTTTAAAAACAGAGGTTATAAACCAGAGGTTATAAATACTGGCTTTAATTAAGTACTAGGATCACACTACACACCTTGGGATTTGTCCTTGTAATGTATCTGTCCATTTAAAATTCTGAATATAGCGTAACTTGCTCTCTTGGGTAGATCCATCCAATGAATTTATGAAACCTTAAGAAGAAATAAAAGTGTGAAAATTTTATTGTCAGAAAAAACAGTACATGTTTCCTTTATTCAAATATGGACTTTTCCAAGCCACCTAAATGAAGAGGCCTAGCCCCTCCACACCCTGCCACATCTCACACTTTTCTCATAGTACTATAATGAGATAGACAGTTGTGGGTTTTTTCATTTGCACATTTAATTATAAAACATTAGAAAGATTATATACCACCTCTCAAATCCACACATAGTTGAAACCCAAGCATACCAGAATAAGCCTGAAAGACAAAACAATTCAAATTAGAAATATCTAAGAATTAAATGTGAACTTCTGCAATTCATATACATAACCTTGTAGAAGTGAAAAATAGGAATCTGCTGCATTTTTCATCATTTCTGGATTACAACTCAAATCCGTGAACAGTTCAAGAAGCCGTGCCCGGGATGCTCTCAAGTCACTTTAATGAGAAGAAAGTAAAGTTAAGTAAGTTTTAAATATATGACTGTAAAATATGGCATCAAGGTTTCAATGGAAAAGCTTTAAAAGATACAATACAACATAGACTTGCCCACAGATCTCTTCTAAGATATTATTATACAGAAATGAATACAAATATGAACAAAATTTGTATTTTGATGATAATTGTTGATTCATATTTTGGTAAAGATAAATAAAATTTCTAATAACTGTTTAACAAGTTGTACTAAAATAAATGCAGTAGTCTAATTAAAGAGGTAAATCATGAATCCAATATGTAATGAATATATACACATTTTGAAATAAATGCATCAACTTAAGATTTGGAAGAAATTAAATATTCTAAGAATGAAAATTAGCCATTGCACAGTAAAAGTATTTTAAAAATCTGACATGTTACTATGTTTTTAGTAAATTCTTCAAATTTTTTGTCATTACATATACAAAAATATTTTACTAGGAAAACCTTACTTTAGAATATTTTATAATAAAATCTATTTAAAATAAAAGTGAATTTCAGAATTTAATATACATACTATTTAATAACATACATCAGTTGTTTCAAAAGTATTTCTCAAGTCTCCATTCTCTTTTGCCTCTATAATTGTAATGTTGCTGATTTCTTCAAGTTCTTCTTTGATTCAAGAACACTAAACTTTGTAGTAATTACTTCACCTTAAAATATTTTCCTATGTTTCGTACTTTCTATTTTTCTTTTTTGAGATTTAATCGATTAGGGCTGCTTCAACTACCCATTCCCAGATGTATATGTACAGTCCTAATGTTGTCCTGGTATAGTTTCACATCTAATTCCAGAAGTCAATTTTTAGTTCATTGATGGTTACAGAAATCACATTAAATGAACAAAGATTAAAGACAATTAAATGCATGTTTTAGTATTGCTAAAATCGGCAGAATGTTAAACGATCCAGGAAGTATTAAAAGAAGATGGAAAGAATATACTGAGTCACTGTATCGAAAGGAATTGGAAGACACAAAAGAATTTCATGAAACAACATATGAGCAAGAGCCTATGGTGATGGAAGAAGTTCAAGCTGCTTTGAAGGAAATGGCAAAAAATAAGGCTCCAGGAATAGATGGTATACCAATTGACATTATTTCAGCTAACAGATGCTGCCATGGACGTGCTCACTAAGTTGTGCCAAGAACTCTGGAGAACAACCACTTGGCCAACTGACTGGAAGAGATCAATATTTGTTCCTATCCCAAAGAAAGGTGAACCAACAGAGTGTGGAAACTATAGAACAATCTCACTGATTTCACATGCAAGCAAGATTTTACTGAAGATTATCCAAAAACGACTGGAACAGCACATCAACAGAGAACTGCCTGAAGTCCAGGTTGTGTTTAGAAGGGGTCATGGTACTAGGGATACTGTAGCTGATGTTAGATGGATCTTGGCTGAAAGCAGGGAATACCAGAGAAATGTGTCTGTGTTTCATTGACTATGCAAAGGCATTTGACTGTGTAGATCATAAAAAACTGTGGCTGACTCTGTACTTGGACCAGGAGGCAGTCGTGAGAACAGAGCAAGGGAACACTGCATGGTTCAAAATTGGGAAGGGCGTACGCCAGGGATGCATCCTATCTCCATACCTTTTCAACCTATATGCAGAACAGATTATCCGGGAGGCTGGGCTCTATGAGGAGAAATGTGGGGTCAAGATTGGTGGACGATTTATCAACAATCTGCGTTATGCGGATGACACAACCCTGCTTGCTGAAACTGAAGAGGACCTGAAGCACCTGCTGCAGAGGGTCAAGGACTGCAGCCTACAATATGGATTGAGGCTCAATGTCAAGACAAAGATTCTCACCACTGGACCAATTGGCAGCATCAGGATGGATGGTGAAGAGATTGAGATTGTACACAGCTTTAGTTTGCTTGGCTCCATAGTCAACAGTCTTGGCACCAGCAGCCAGGAAATTAAAAGGCGCATTGCCATGGGAAGGTGTGCTGTTAGGGACCTCTCCAAAGTACTGAAGAGCAATGGTGTCTCTCTGGAGACTAAGGTGCGTGTGATACAGGCCATGGTCTTTGCAATCACTTGTCATGCATCAGAGAGTTGGACAATGACCAAGGAGGATAGAAGGAGAATTGATGCCTTTGAGCTGTGGTGCTGGAGAAGAGTATTGAGAATACCATGGACTGCTAGGAAAACAAACAGATTTGTCCTGGAAAGGGTTAAACTGGGTGGCTCCTTGGAGGCAAGGATTCTGAGGCTCCGTCTAACATACTTTGGACATGTTGTGAGGAGAGACCGGTCCTTAAGAGAGGGACATCATGCTTGGGAGGGTGGAGGGACAGCGCAGGAGAGGAAGGCCCTCTATTAGGTGGATTGATTCAGTGACTGGGATAATTGGGATGAGAGTGTCAGAGACAGTGCGACTGGCACAGGACAGAGTGGAGTTTAGGGCTGTTGTACATAGGGTTGCTATGAGTCGCAAGCGACTCGATGGCACATAACAATAACAACAACAAAACAAAAAAAAATAAAAATGTATTCCTTCACAGATTAGGAGAATAAAAGTACAAATTCAGAGTGCTTGCTCTTTGAGGTAACTTCTGGGGAAAGAGCCTTGGTCTCCTTTCTACAACTGGGGAAATTCTTTGGAGATCAATGTCATCAGTTTCCTCTTGGAAATTCTAGGAAATTCTCAGTGTAAGGATACTAGGTCCAAAGCCTTCAATTAGCGCCAACCTTTCTCTGCAGTCCCCCTTTTCTGGCTTGCTTTTCTTTTTCTCCCTGTAGTGAGAATAAAGGTACTGCATGCTCCACCCCAAAATAACTCTCTTTACACTGGATCAGGAGGTGTCCTGAATAAGGACAAATCAAAGGGATATGTAACCTACTTTAATTCTGGTTCATTAAAATACCAACTCTTACCTAGTCCTCTTTAACATAAAGGGAAGTTCTCTTAACCTAGTTCTCTTTAACATTAAAGGAACTTTGATGGCTGGTCCAAAGGCTGCAACTCTGTGGAGTTCTGAATCTCCCAATGGGATTTACAGCCCAGAAACCTGATGGAAGGTCAGTGACTGAATGGCTTTTCAATCAACAGCACAGAGTCTGAACTTTAGTTTTTTGAAGTCTACCTGATTAACTACAGATAAAGTTAGGATTTACATTACAAAGTAGAGCAAAGTTACACATTACTAAAAATCATGATCAGCCACACTGAAGTGTTTTTAAGAGGACAATTCAATCCATGATAGGATGTAAATGGGTAAATATTAAATTGCAAGCACCAAGAGACTGTGGACCCATAACTTACTAGTTACTTAGGGCAAAGCACCAGTGGAGTGGCATAGTCTCCAGGGAGTTAGTTGCTAACCCAAAGGCAATACTTCTCTGGCATTTGGAATTCAACAGCATCAATTCAAGAGAAAGATGGACAACGTGCTCCCTTACAATTTATACCCAAAGAAGCTCAATGGAGGGTCAACTCTGCTTGCTCAGACCCAACAACTGTGAGTGAGTGAGACGTAGGGGCAAAATATACACTCAGAAACGACTTGTTGAACAAACAGTGAAAACATTTTGTAATTCAGCAGTTGATATTTAGATGAAAGGAGACTTAATTGTGGAGGTTTAGGTTGGATTTAGAAGAGGTCATGGCATCATGGTTATTCTGATATCAGATGGATCTTGGCAGAGAGGAGAGAATATTGAGAATGTCTGTTTGTGTTTTACTGACTACGCAAAGGCATTTGAGTGAGTGGATCATAATAAACTATGGATAGCATTAAGAATGACAATTCCAGAACACTTTATTGTGCTCATGCAAAACCTTTGTCTAGACCAAGAATCTATTGTCTGATAAGTGAGGAAAAAGACTGCATGGTTTAAAATCAAGAAAGGTGTGCATCAGGGCTGTATCCTTTCTCATCTATTCAATCTGTACGCTGACTAAATCATTCAAAAAGTTGGATTCTTTGAAGAACATGGCATCAAGATTCACAATTGGAGGGAGATTCATTAAATAAACTGTTATTCAGATGACACTTTGCTTTCAAGTGAGGAGGACTCGAAACACTGGCTGTAGAAGATGAAGCGCCACAGCTTTCAACATCAAATATGAGATTACATCTCAACATTAAGAAAACAAAAATCCATACTACTGGACTGATAGGCATAGCATTTTCCATTACTTGTCACATAAATAAGGTGGACAGAAGAACTGATGCCTCTGAGTTGTGGTACTGGAAGAGAATACTGAGTATTCCATGGGCTTCCAAAAGAACAGGGTGCCCCAAGGCCACCAGAACTCCCTCAAGATGATAAAACTTCCTGTCACATACTTTGGACATGGTGTCAGGAAAGGACATCACGATGGGAAGATCTCTTACAAGATGGACTACATAATGACTGCACCAATGGGCTGGAGGATTTTAGAGATTGTGAGGATGGTGTAAGATAGAGAAAGATTCAGGTTTAATGTTCATAGGGTCATTATGAGTTGACCCGATGGTATCTACAAACAATACCTCAAAAAAGGGAGTTCTGGTGTCACAGAACATAGGGGGCTGTGCTGCTAAGCTAAGGGCAGTACCTTTATGGTAGTTTGAATCCCCTAGCTGCTTCACACGAGAAAGATGTACAATCTCTCTCGTGCAAATCATAGCCTCTGACAACTCACTAGAGAGATAATGCCAACTTGATGGTAATGAGTGTGAGTCCAAGAAAGTACATAATCTCAATTACATACTGCTGACTAAAAATTGGATAGGCCACATTATGAATGTACCATTGTTCTAAGTATTTAATTAGGAAATGGGAGGATTGATTGCTACACACTAACTAGATAGAGACTACGGTCCTTAATTGTATTTCAGATTCACAGCTTATTAGTTATTTCTAGCTCTAATTTGTATAAAGTTATATTCATCTGAAAACTATAAATTTGAGAAAAATCTCAACAAATGAATGGATAGGAAAAAGAAAAACTATGGTACAT